CATGTGTAGGCAGCCGCTTTTCAGTCTTAGAAGTTACAGCCATACTGCAGATTACTATAAATTTTAACTGTGAACATATTCCTCACTTCTAAGTCAGTTACTTAACAGGAGCCTCAATTATGGGACCACAAAAGAATGAGGCGGTATAGTGTAGAGATTAATGACCATCTCTGGTATTAGGGAGACTTGGGCTCAAATCCTATAGCACTGCCATTTATTTAAAGCTGTGAGAGTTTGAACATGTTATTTATTTATATTTTTAATTTTTAAAATTTATTTAAATTAGTTTCATGTATATAGTACATTGGTTCGACATCTATATAGTTCATAAAACGATCCCCCCAATTGCTCTCTCCCTCCCCTGGCCCTCCACGTAGCCATCATATTAATGCTAACCGCATTCCCTATGCCGTGCTCCCCATCCCCATGACCAACTATCAACCCCTAATTTGTCCTTCTTTAACCCTTCACTCCATTTTCCCAGCCCCCCAATCCTCTGTCCGTCACCAAATTGGACAAGCCATTTAAACTTTCTAAGCCTTGTTTTTCTTATTATATAACGGGGATGATAAGAAATCTTATGTCATAGGCTTGGAGTATTTGTCAAAGTAATATACATAAAGGTTTTAGCATAGCTCCCGGCACAAAATAAAGACTTATATACATTGGCTATTAAAGAGAAATAAAATTCTCTGATCAGCTAATATAGCTCACAGTAGTCACGGGGATGTAAAGTACAGAATAGAGAATGTAGTCCATAATATTGTTATAACTATGTATAGTGCCAGGTGGGCACTAGACTAATGAAGGGATCACTTTGTAAATTCTATAAATGTTTAATTATGCTGTACACCTGAAACTAATATAAAATTTTATATATATGTGTATGTATATATGTGTACGTATATACATATATATACATATACATGCATATATATATAGTAGCTCACAAATCCTGTGTGACGCTTTTACTCAGAAACAACCCATTAAACCCACACTTAGAATCTATATAATTTGATTTTCACAGTCAGGACTGATGTACTGTGGCTTAGACATAGTTTTGACAGGGCATGGGGAGAGCAGATCATCTGGTTTCTCAGGATCTAGCATGACAGGAGCTCCTATAATCTAAAGGTAGGGACAGGCAAGAACTAAGGCAGCTGTCAGTAATGAGAGGGACAAATGACAGAATGAAACAAACCAAACAAAACAAGGACTCAATTGTAGGAGTCTGAGGGTATTTAGAAAGGAGACAAGCAGCCTTACCTTCCTTAAGAGTCCCTGAAAACAATCGTGTATCATAGACTAGTACAGTAATTCATGGTGACAGTAAAGTATGCTTCAATCTTCCAAAAAAGTTTGTGTACGCTCAAGTACACTGCCAAATAAGCACTCACCATCAGCGAGGTTAAAATCAACACTTTGGTGCTTGAAGACAAAGGAACTTCAGTCACGTGAAAAAAATCCCCTTGGGTAAAACTCAACTTCAATGAAGCTGAATAAATGAAATGTCACCATTTGTCTAACACCTACTTCCCTGCAAATCGGTACTGTATGAATTCACCACCACCGCTCCCCAAAGACCGGCTACTTAACTTTGGCACAAAGAATCAGGGTCAATTTGCCTGTGATACTTTAATGAATGACACATGTTATTTTGTGATATGCCCCCTTTCAACTCATGTTTTCTGTTCCAAAGGGGTTCAGTGAAAATCAACAGACAAAAACCAACAAACAGGAATTCCCCACATATACTCTTCTTGATGATGGAGTTTATGGAAAATTCCGCCCCTCTCCACACTTGCAATTCTTGGATGGTAACATGGCTGGACTGAGTGGTCTTCTAGGTCCCCTCCAACCTGGATATTCTAAGATACAGTTACCTGACCCAATTAATAGGTACCCAGTGAGTGTCCTTGTTCAGCTTCTCCAAGAGCATTCTGAGCTGGCTGTGTGCACTATGGAGATCCTCCTTCAGCAGCACAGCGTCCACCAGGTGGCCGTAATGCTGGTCTATGAAGGCGGCGGAAGCGGCCATCTCTTGCTGTTCCTCATCCTGCAAAGGGGCAGTTATGGAGCAAGTGTGTGGTTCTCCCCCCAAATAGAAAACCTACAGCGGTTCTCCCCCCCAAATAAGAAACCTACAGCCTGCATCTTGAGCAATGTTCCAATCTCTAGTTTTTAAGTGATAAGCAATGACTATGGCCCATTAATAATGAACTGTGAACATAAAAATGGAGTATCATGACAATATTCTATCAGACTTCCAAGAAAGTTAATGGGCAGTAGACATAAACATTGTTCAGTCATTCATTCACAAAATATCTACTGCGGACCAGTTCACTGCAAGCCATGAAAGGAAGTGCTTTGGGGAGGATGCTGATTCTATACCTGTGTGTGTCTATGTCTGTGTCGATATCACACTTCCTGTCCAAAGGTATTTCCAAAGAAGTGCCAATGCTGTGTTGCATGATAATTCGGTTAAATAATTATAGGAAAGAACCATACATAAGAACCACATAAAAGCAAAGCGAGCATTTCTGGAATTAACTAGGGGGAAATGAAAAAGAAAAGGAACTCTGGTGCCCTCTGAAGCCTCCTGGTATGAGGAAATGAAAAGAATCATTTCCAAACACCAGCAAGAGAGACAAAGTTATTCAAGAAAGTGCTAGGACGACTCTTATCGAATTCCGCATTACCTTAGGGTAACTGACTAATCAGATTGCTTTCCTAACACCTGACACTAAGGTATAAAGAGCCTATGATCCCTCCTTTACCCAACCTGTACATTTGCCTTTTCATTTCATTCACTCATGCCTTTAAAAAGTAGAATTTCAGGCAGGTAGTTAGTTGACTGACAATTAGTCAAATAACTGTTTTTTTGGAAGTTGCAAAACGAAATTTGTCACTGGCATTCACCAATCTCCCCTTCTCTCTCTCTCCAGTCCGTCCTTGCCATCTCTCCTCTGCTTCTAGGGGCTCAGTGTTTTGATGCTGCCATGTTTTGAGCTGTCCTCCCACAAAGAGACCCACGTTCCAAAACAGTCCCTTCTCTCCCCTCTGTCACCCATCAAAACCTGATTCCTACTTCAGTGAGGACATCTGCAGTTTCAGAAGATATGTTCTAAAGGTCTAGGAAACAGTTTTTGTATGCTACTACAAAGATGGCAGAGACGTAAGAGAAGGCTGAGATCATTTCTTCTGCTAACTTCTTTCCCCCAGGAGGAAAAAAACTAGATTAAATCGAGAGAAGCTTCCTAATTCTGTATTGTGTCTTGCAGGGCGCTCCTCTCGTACTCAAAAGCACTCTGCAGTGTCCCAGCGCTGCCCATGGATCTTCAACCCTTCCTCCCTTACCCCCTTATACACACATCCTGTAGACCCGTCTGCTGCTTCTGGAGTTCCCCCTCCTCCAGGACCCTCACTATTCATCCTGGAAGCATTTAGCTATTTGAGAAATTATAGAAGGAACATTTTTGCCACTAAGTACCTTAATCTTCCTAATAAATATTTGTATCTTGAAAGAACGTAAATAAATCTCTAATGGAGTAAAATGTGTGACATTTGTCTTGGAGCCACAAATCCCCTGAACCCTTTTCCTGGCCTGTAAAGGTGGAACGTTCAATCACCTGCAGTTTTAGCAGGAGAGTCACAGACCCAAACCGCACATGGGAACGATTCTCTACATGCTGCCCGTTGCCGGGTTGGATTAGCTTACCGGACCTGAATTTGGTTTCAATTAAAAACTACTTGGGTTTGGCTTAGGAGTTCAAGAGATTTGTGTGGTTTGTCACACTCAGATCTGGTCCTTGACAGGTATTGGTCCCTATTTTCTGGGAGGGTACATATGTGAGGGAGTGGAAGGTGGGTGGGGAGTCCGGGCAAAGCCACCGCTGTCTGAACTGGGAGGCACTTCTGGCTGCCCCACCTCGAGCTTTCTGGTCACTTGACCATCTAAATCTGGCCAATAGGCAAAACAGAAAGAGATGGCCCTATGCAAAAGTACAAGTGCCCTCATGTTGCTGTAAGAGGCCCTGTTCGGCCTTTGTTAAAGAAATGATCAACCTTGAACTTACAAGGGGAGCTGCTGTGTCCTCACAAGCTGGGGACATGGGTGGCGTCTTCCTTTTTTCCTGAATTGCAGGCTTTACAAATATAACATAGGGTTTGAACTCTGAGGTCCTCAGTAGTCTCAGGGCCTGAGAAAGTAAGTTCAGGAATATTATACTTTGGAAATATTTTACTGTGAAACATACTTTTTGAATGCTCAGTGATGGTGTGCTTCATCACATAACCTCAACGGCAAAGGTCCTGTATATGGTCATATGACAATGGACTTCAACTGGGCAGACCAACTGCTTATTTTCCCACCCTCCACTTTGACACTGGACTCAGCTGGGCCCTGAAGGCCTACTTGTTGACAAGGGAGGTCCCAAAGCCTCAGCTGGCTCCAAGAGTTGCCATCTCTCTTTGCTCTGACCCTGCAAGCTCTAATTAACCTTCTCACACCCTTCTCCACCTGCCCAGTCCTGAGGGATGAGCCAGCGGGATTCAATGTGTGTGTATTTAGTCACACATCATCAATTTGGACTACACTGACGCGAAATGTTTGCTATTGCACAGGCCTCCTTATGAGTCAAAAAAGAAAAGGTTTGCTAAGCAAATAAACTAAAAAAAGTCACTTGAAACCAACTGTAAAGACTTTAGGTTTTCCATATGCAAATTGTCCTGTTAATTAGTGCATTTTATCTATAACGAGGGGCCTCTATTAGTAAACATTGGTATTCAACTGTTATATGTACAATCTGCAGCCAAAAAAAATTTAACAAAGTCACTTTCCAAATAAAATTTTGAAATTTAGACTTTTAATTTTGACCACCAGCTCCCAGTATGTCTACCTTAGTGAGAGCTTTCCTTTATAGACATAATGTACTTTGTGGAATCTGTTTCAAGCAAACTTCTATAAAATAAAGCCTACGGCTTATATCATAAAATGAGAGCTCCGTTTCTACAGAGGAATAAAAAAAATCCCCAGATTGAAGTCAACGCTTAGAAGTGTTTCTCAAAGACAAGGTTAAAAGATTGTTAAGCCCCTGCTGAGCACACAGCAGGCAGAGTGTGCAGAACTGGAAATGTTTTGAAGCGCCTCACAGGGTCATGTTTCCTTCCATTTTTCCCTTTCAAATTGCTCTCCTGATCACCATCTTCAGTGGTCCCCCAAGCCACTAGTTTCAAGGAGGGGGTGAGCCAAGGGCTGAGCCCGCTTTCCACATGGGCACTGACACCTAATTCTCTGTCACATCACAACTGACCAGTTGGTGCCACCATCTACTGCATGACTTACTCCATGTAGAGGTTCCTATCCTGGGTCTCTGGGCCACCAAGAGGGTCCATGAACTCCCTACAATTTTAATGCAGTGTTTGTGTATAGAAGCGCACATTTTGGGGTGCAAAGCTTTCATTAGATTCTTAGAGGAAGTTGCAAGAAAATTTTAATATCCAGTTCTCTAGACTAAAAATCCCTTAGCCTGAGGTCAAATGTTCGGTAAAATATATAATCCCACCCCCCTATTTTATAAATTCCCTTTACAGGAAATGCCCATCTGGCTCAGGAACTCACGTCCGGCTCCACATCCACCAAACAAACTTTGTTTTTGGCCATCACAGCCTGAATGGCATCCAGGCTAGTCCCATAGAGATTTTCCTTGTATTCACCATGCTCCAGGAACCTAGAACCAGCAAAGGGAAAAGGGCTTTAGTTCCTGAGCTTGCTTAAATTAGAAACATGAATGAATTTCCCACCATGACTTCGCTCCCACTTCCCCTCATCTTTTCCAGGCCTCCCAGGTCAAGCGGAATACTGGCCAGATGCAAAGACACATAGTTACACAGAGGGCCAACTGGCCCATCAAGCAAACGTACTTGTTGTGATGTAAGTCGGCCTCAAACACTTGCTTAGACACGAAGTGATATTCCACCCCCTCCTTCTCATGGCTCTTTCGGGGCCTGGTGGTATCTTTTAAAGAAAGAACGAAAGCTGAGCAAAGAGATATCACGTCACACTGAGCAAGTACAGTAGCGAGCCTGTGCCCTCATTCAGAATTCATCGCTGATTTGTATATACCAGGCATAGTGCCCTTGCCAGGGGCATCACTGATTCACACAAATCTTTGATGTAGGAAAAAGGAGGCCTCCCATCTTGCAGGAGAGGGAACTGAAAGGTGCAGAGAGGTGAAGCACTGTGCCAACGACCCAGAGCCAGCAGGTAGCACAGCCAAAGCCTGAACTCTCTGTCTCATGCCAAGTGTATGCCCTTAACCATCCTGACAAACTGCCTCACTGATGCTGTGGCTTTTAAAGAATCACTGAGGGGATCCCTGTTATGAGCTTTTATTTTATCCCTAGTCCTAATTGCTTTTTGAGAGCAAAGGAGGCACAAACACAAATGACCCTGCTGTATGCTTTTAATTCTTTATTCAATTATTTCCCATTTTGAGAGAAAAGGAGACATGAAGACAGACAGTCCTTTTATGGATGGGATGTGCTCAGCAGAGCTGGCTCTCACGTAATTTTGAAGCACACAGTGTTTTCCCACTGATGTCCATAATAGAATTGAGAGGTATACTTCTGGGGGAAGGCAGGTTCTCCACAGAACAGGAGCACACATGCAGCCGCACACAGCTTTTTCCAGAGTAAAAGGAAAGATGGGGTCTTGAAGGACAGTGTTTTCTGGCCCTTGAGGCCACCCATGGGGATGCTGTCTTCTATGTGTGGTATCTTTGGCCAGCCTCTGGCAGAGTTGCTAGCGACACTTTTCTGACCATGTCATTCTCTTGCTTTAAAACTTTTATTCACCCACTGATAACATTCTAAAGATCTTACATGAGTATATGAGACCCACGGGATCTACCCAGCCTCCAACTCAGCTTCGTCTCCCCCACATCATCCACACCAACTTCCCCGATCCCTAACACTGCTTCGCTGGGTCACACCTTCGTCCCTTTGCACGTATTATTCTCCCAGTAGAGAGGATTCTTCCTTCCTTCTCTGCCTGGAAAACTCCTACTTACTCTTCGAAACCCAGTATAAAGGTTACTGCCTCTCGGAGGCTTCCCCTGACTCCCCCAGTTCCTAAAAAAGGGGGACAGTCATCTATCTGTGTGGTAAACCTGGAAGCAAGCAGTCCTGACCATCCAGGTACCCCACCTCCAGGGGATGGATCTGAGGGTTTCATAGGATCTCTGTGTGAGCGACTTCTGCATGTCCTATTTCAGTTTATTCTATCAGCCTGGAAGGCCGTGGTCCCCTGAAACCTACCAGGCCCATCACAGGTGTGCTGCCAGAATGGCCACCCCCTACTTCCCATCCCTGCCACTTCAGGTTGGGCTCTGGAAGACAATCCTGACAACACACAGATTGGGCTACAGGCCCCAAGGCCCAGGGGACCAGCTTTGGAGCTGCCTTTCCTCAGAACACTCTGGAAAGGTCCCATTACTGCCACCACAGCATCCCCTCTTGGTGGCCACCAGGTGCCCACACTGCATCCTTCTGAGGCCAGAGGGACCTAGGGAGGATCCCAGAGAGAAAAGGGACAACAAGAGGCAGAAGTGACAGGCAGCAGGTGAGAGGCTGTCGTGTGGCCTCGTTAGGAATGTGACTAGGGCAGGCTGCCTAGGTTTGAACCTTGGCTCCACAGCTCACCAACTGTGCGACACTGGGCAAGTTATTTAGCCTTTCTGAGCCTCGGTGTCTTCCTCTGCAGTATGGGATGATAATCATCCCTCCCCCCAATGGTTACTGGGAAGGCTGACTGAGTTACCGCACATGAGAGGTCTTGGTATAGCTCAGAGCATTCTTCATTCTCCTCTTTCTCATCCCATTCAGAACCAGGACCTCCCTGCTACTGGATTTCACATCCTCAGCTGCCTCTAGACTCAGGAGTCACCCTAGTGGGCCGGATCTAGCCAGATGGGAGTGCCCAAGCGACACCGCTCACTGGCTCGCCCCGTTCTCTTATCCGAGCAGAGCAGGGGCCATAGGATTCAGAGCTATTTGGAAGAGGAGACTGCAATGCCCCCGCTGCTGGGGGACCCTTGCTGTTGGGTTGGAGTTGACGTTGCCACTTTGCCTGCAATGTGCTCTAGACTCACCTCTCATCCCAGGCAGGAACCTAGTAAGTCCTCTAGCTTCTGCCTCAGAGGGTCCTAGTGGAGAGTGGGTCTCTCCCATCATGCCTAGGTCCCATGATCTGTCTATAGTTGGCAATGCCTGGCAGTCCCTCAGACCCAAAGGATGAGGATGGATATGGGGAGTCAAGTCCCCACGAAATATTCATGTGTAGGCACACACATACACCACCTCCCCACCACTGACACGTGGGCCCTCTTACGTGGAACAGCAACACCAAAGTGCTGTGGGTTCTCTGCCACCACCTTCTGCTTCAGCTCGTGAAGTCGGGCTCCCAGAGACCCTGGGAAACAAAGGGAAGGCTGACCAGGGACCCTGCTGAGCTTCCTCTCCACTCCTGCAGGGAGGAAACCAGCCCACTCTCTGGAGACGCGGGAGGTCACCTACCAATCAGAACCACCAGGCGGGGCCGCTCGCCTGGCTGGTGCTGGTACCTGGTCACCTCCTCATAGGTCAGCAGCTCCAGAGACTCGGCTACTGTGGACATCTTTCCTTCCTGCAGGCTTCCCGTTCTGTCTCTTCGGCCTAGCCGGAAGCTCCTCCGAAGACCAGCTTTGGGGGAAGAGCAGGGGGTACCGTGGCATTTGTCCCAGTATCTCCCAGTAAAGACTTTTTCCACCTGGCCAGATCTGGAGGTGGGACTGAGACCCCCTGGCCTCTCCCAACTTCCACCTGCTACAGGAAGGAGATGATTGAGACACACAGTAATATGATAAAAAGGATGACCACTTGGCAATCCAAAATTAGGGTTTAAGGTCACTGCTTTACTTGGCACATGACTGACCTTGGGCAAGTCATCACTTTTCTGAGGCTCAATTTCCTTATCGGTGAAATGGGAATACAAATCTACAATGTGTGGACTGGATCCTGGATCAAGAAAAAATGCTCTAAAAGACATTGTTGGAACAACTGGCAAAACTTTAATATAAACAATATATTAGATAATAGAATTATACGTATGTACTTTAAATTCTCAGAATTGGTAATTGCCCAGGGTTATATAAGAGAATGTCCTTGTCCTTAGAGAATACAAGCTGAGGTATTTAAGGGTGAAGGAACATAATGTCTGCAACTAACTCTCACTTGACTCAGGAGAAAAAAAGTATGTAGAAAAAGGGAATGATAAAGCAAACATGGCAAAGTGTTAACGACTGGTGAATCTGGGTGTGGAGTATATGAGAGTCCTATACAATTCTTACAACTCTTCGGTAAGTGTCAAATTACTTCAAAATCAAAAGTTAAAAAACTCTTTGCCTATCTCTAAGGGCTTTGTAAAGACTGACCAAAATAGAAGAAGTGAAGGTACTTTGGAGACTAGTAAGTAAAAGGCTCCGTGACTGTACGGTGGTGGTGTAGAGTTGAGATCATAATAATAAAATTGGTATTAATGTAGGAGTCTATGTTATCCTTTCCCGCCAGGACTGCTCCCAGTGGCTGGGTGAATATTGGGGTGGGGGATCCCCAAGGCCTGGGCAGGTCAGGTCTTCCTCTGCTGACAGAGATGGTGGGGAAATGTGGGTCCCACAGGCTCAACTGCTCCTGAAAGGTTGCCGGCACTCAGATCACTGTGCTTTTGTCTCTCCCTGACCCAGGAGCCCACAGTGGGCTGTGCATGGGTGGGAGAGTGCTGGGGGAAGCAGCCCCACTACTTACCCACGTGATGCCCTTTGAAGTACCCCTCACAGTCACAAGTCTCTGGGAACCAAACAGAAAGGAAGAACAGTGAGCCATGCTGGACACACACGCCAACCCAGAGGTACCCGGCCCCTGGATGGCTGGACAGAGCCCTCTGGGATGCTGTCTCAGGGCGTTCAGGAGAAATGCTATGGCCTGGCCACCCCAGAAAAACAAGTTCTTCTGTTCAGCCTAGCTCTCCATGCATAGGCCCCAAGTAGCCTTTCTAGGCCCTGGCAGGGGTTCTGGGCCAGCAGGCCCTGTCCCAGCCCCTCTGACTTAGATCACTGTGAACGAGGGAAGACTCACTCGCCCTGCCCCACCCCCATCCTGTCACTTGCCCAGTCACAATCAACCCAGCCAGAGTCTGGGAAAGGCTGGGGCTGGTGTGCCAGGCAGACAGGGAGGGGCTCCATCCCCACCAGCTCCGCAGCCTCAGGGAACAGGCCCGTCCAGCTGGCAGAGCAGCGGGGGATGTACGAAGAGCCAAAGGGGCACGGCTACCCCAGACTGGGGTGGGCCAGGGGGTTGGCAAGCGCCTCCAGCCACAGACATTCCACAGAAAAAGGGCCTTGGCCGTGTGCATGGGGGACAAATACCAAGCCTACCTTTGTCACAAGGCTGATCATCTGCGGTTTGCACAAAAGACAGATGGAACAGTGTTAGTGGAGGGGAACCGGGAGGCCCTGCGGCTGAGAGACAGCCATGGCCTCGTGTGCCTGAAGAGCCCTCCATCTGTCCCCTTTCCCTCCTCCAACACACATGTGATCTGAGCTGTGGTGCATTATTAAACCAAGACTTGCTCTAATTCATCTTCCTGCATGTATCTCATTAGCAGCCCAAAGAAAGCCCACTCATCGCTGGCGTAAGCAACCTCAAGGCCAGTTTACTCAGCAGCCCTTCCGACTGAAAGCAAATCTAGAAGGGTGGCCGTGGGCAGTGGCCACCACGCCAGGGGAGCAGCTCACTCTGAGGTGCCTGCAGTGGGAAAGCTTCCTCTCCATTCTCTAACTCAAGGTCTCTGATCACAGGCCTTCTGAAAACTTGACCCGGACCTCACTCCCTTGACATCATGAGCCTCCGTTTTCCCATCTTGGAAAAGGAGATGCTGGACTCTACTACTTTACAGGGCTGTTGTGATGATTAGGAGGCAAGAAGGTGGGCGGGTGTGTTTTCTAAACGGTAAAGTTGTCAGAAAATGTAGGGATACTCAGTTAAATTTGAATTTCAGAAGAACAACGAATCCATTTGTAGCACAAGTATATCCCATGTAATATTTGGGGCATACTTACACTAAAAAATTATGTGTTTATCTGAAGTTCAAATTGAACTGAGCATCCTTTAATTTTTTTTGCCAAATTTGGCCCCTAACACAGAGGCACAAGATCACTCACAGCCATCTCCATTTCCTCCCTAAAGTAGAGGTTCTTAAATTGACAGGATCAGAGAATCCCTTGGGAACATGATGATGCTGCGGACTGTCTCCCAGATAGACAGACAGACAGACAGACAGACACACGCCCACTTACACATACAGGTTTGCACACAATTTGGGGAGTGGCGTTAACCTGCCCCCCAGTGTCCATAGACTCCAAATACAGAAGCTCTTCTCCAGGGAGTAGCTCCCTCACCCCACCCTCATTTTCTCTCCTCATCCCTCTCCCCACCTCCTCCTTCCTCTGGAGGCCTGGGAGCTCAGAGAGGTCCCTGGGTGCCCGCTCCAGCCCAGTGCCTGCTTCTTCTTGGCACAAAGCCCCCAAGTCCTAACCCCGGCCCCCCCATGGAGTGCCAACCCTGCCAATCTACTCACAGCGGGGCTTCCTGAGGCTCTGGGGGCTTGGCAGGGTGCCTGTGGCTCTCCGGTAGCTTAGGCGCCTGTAGGGACACAGGGAATGGACAGTCCAGGGAACCAGTTAGAGGGGAATTTTACAGAAAACTCAGAAAAAGTGAGGCTTGGCTCCTACAGGTGGGCATAGCCTGGGCCTCTGAGAGCCTCCTGCTTCGCACTGAGTTCCAGTAAACAGGGACACTTTCACGGGTACTCATAGGTTCATGAGGAGCAAGAAACCGAGTCTCCTGCCCTGGGAGAAGCTCGCCCAGGCTAAGATGGTCACACACAAGGATCCAGCCTGGAGCCCACAGTCAGTGGTGGGTTGTAATTTCCCTATGACTGATTCTCTAGGAAGCACGCCCCTTCTCCACTCTCGCCTGGCCTTCCCATCTCTACGGAAGCTGGAAAATAGCAGAAAGACTCCCAGGAGAGGCTGAAGGTGAAACTGACCTTGATTTAATGCCCTTCTCCCTCCGACAGAGAGCTCAGCCTGACGCATTATCCAATATGGCTGTCAGTGGACAGGCAGCCCCCCAGGCCTCACCTCTGACCTGAGAAAAATGCCCAGGGCTCTTGGAGGTGTCTAGATTTTTACATTTAAACACAGCCAAAGAGCCTTTCCCCAAGACCTTGAAGCCAAAGATGCAGATGGATCTGGGGCTCCCCTAAAGAAAGAGAGCGGAGGTTCTCAAGCTTCAGCACCTCAGAACCACCTGGAACACCTGCGAGAACACAGAGCTCAGAGTCCGCCCATGGAGTTTCTGACTGAGCACATCTGGGGCATTGCCCAGGGATCTGCATTTCTAACGGGTTCTCGGGGTATGCTGCTCCTGCCCTGGGGACCGCAGCATGAGGGCCACTGAAACGGACAAACCCTGAGGTCTGTCATTACCACGTTCCACACCCCGGAAAATGGAAGAGGGCTACAAACCTCAGGTGAGGCAATGCAGTAATAACTGCCCCCCGTTCTGACCCAGAATTTACATTTTTGGAAATCTATCCTAAGGAAACCATTTGAAATGTGAGGAACAGTCTATGCGCGAAATAATAATTACAGCCTTGTAGCAGCGAGACACCAGAGACTGGAAAGTAGGGAAGGAGCGAAGTCACTTAGGTGTGACCGTTCCCCTGAGAAGCCTGCCCTGTACACCCGGCCAGGGCCTGTCCTCTTACTGTGACCTGACAGAGCACCATCTCCTCCTCCCTCACACCCATCATATTTACATAAAATGTTCATTTCAACCATGCGTGACTCTCCAGTTAAACCACAGGCCCAGCTCCATTCATAAGAAATACATTCATACTGCCTATGAATGAATGGCATAGTTCCTGATGAAATATGATGTAGCCACTAAAATCACACAATAAAGAATAGGGAATAACATGAGAAATGCTAATGTCAAAACAGTAAGTTAAAAAAAAAGCAAGACCTCATATTCTATATGCAACACTCACATAAAAAGCATGGGAAGGAAATAAGTATGATGTAGCCACTAAAATCACACCATAAAGAATAGGGAATCATATGAGAAATGCTAATGCCAAAATAGTAAGTTAAAAAAAAAAGCAAGACCTCATATTCTATCTGCAACACTCACATAAAAAGCATGGGAAGGAAATAAATTATGGTGTTTGGATAATAGTGGGACTTTGGGTAATTTTCTTTTCCTTGTCCTCTTCTGTATTTTTATATTTTATTTGTCAACTTTCACTAAGTATGTATTATAACATATACATTAATTTAATAACATAGATTTCCATATATTTATTTATATCTCAAACAGTTGTCACCACTGGTTATGGGTCAAGAAGAACAAACACAAGTGCGATGGGTACTTACCTCAGAGACCAACACACAGTGTTCCCCTCTGGCTGTGGTGACACAAATGTGGGGATCTATTGTATCCCTATACCTCTGGCTGCTCCAGAGCCATCCCCTTACGACACGCCCCAGACCCACCTTTCTTGGAACTGCTTGGAGGGAATAAGGCCAGCTCGAAGGTTGGTGTCCCCCACTCGCTTGGCCTGCCACCACGTGGGGTCATCCTGGCTCACCACCTCCAGGATCTGCCTGCGCTGGAAGGGCAGGCCCGCCTCCTGGCAGGGGATGGCCCGGTCCTCCCGAGGGTTGTAGTGGAAGAGGGCCCGCATGAACACCTGCACAGGAGGGGCTCTGGTGAGGTGGCCCTTCATCATGGAGGCATAGATGCGTCTATGCCGCAGGGAAGGACCAATGACAACTACCGTTCACAATTAGGAAGAACAAGCAGCCTTGAGAATAGAAAGCTAATCAGAAACACACTGCTCATATTTTCTTATTGTTCTTTAACCATTTTGGATATTATAGTCAGGAAATCCTGCAAGAATCAGAAAATTAATAGATGGGTCCTGTGTCTGAATTTCCTGTCCAACCTAAACATTTCCTTAGTTACCTATCTGCTGTTCTTAGCACACACAAAACAATAATTAGTCCTGGGAACAAAAAGTAAAGGCAAGCACAATCTGTAACTCAAATCTGATTTTTGATATGCTAACTGCCCCTAATGAAGTCAGTAGCCATCTGTCAAAAAAGTCATCTCGATGTTTTGGTAAGAACAAAAATATCAACAAAACCACTCATTCACCATCACTCTTCAGTAAGTAATTGACACCCACATTTTTTACAGCACAATCCTATCTCATCTGTCAAATACGTAGCCAACTCCCAACCCTCCGCTTTACCCTGAAGTCACCCCCTCTAGAGAAGATGGTGGGAAGCACAGCATTTTCTCACACTTCCTTGTTCTCGTCTACAATTCAGTAGCATGGATTTATTTATTTCTATTTGGGCCCAATTACTTTAATAGGATACAGAAGAAGGAAAAAAAAAGGCCAGAGGGCTTCCTTAAATCCAAATCATACTCCTTTATATGCCAACCAGAAAAGATTCAGTCAGTCAACAGTAATAACTTTCTAGCCAGATATTGTGAAGATAGATACCCTCATCTGGTCACAGATGTTACCAGGGTCCCAGCCACTCATAATCTTAAATGGCCAGCTCAGATCAAGCTCTGGCTTCAAAAGAATTATTTAGGAAAGATGGGCTAAGGCACAGACTACCCATTTCATCTTCCGGGAAAACCAAGTTCTCTCATTGTATCAAATTAAAACCTTCAGTAGCTGCATATGGGGACTTGTCCCAGGAAGACCTTCATCAGGTAAGAAAGAGTCCCTATTATGTGTGCCCTGGGATTCTGTGGAAGAGGCAAATAAGAAACAAGCCATAAAGACATTATTCTTCATTGCTGCATAAAAAAAAAAAAAAACTGACATCAAAGACATTGCCTAATATTAATCCTCATTCACCAAAATATTTACTGACATCTTTTGTGTGCTAGGTACTAGAATGTCCCCTTTTTCAGGTGTTTAGTACTGACAGGTGGGGGCTGGAAATCAGCTCTCTTGAAAAATCGGTATGCTTCCTTCCATGCACTGAAGAAAAGTACATCATTCATTACGTTCTCCTTTCTGCCTTGGCTGCCAGGAAGTTCACCTCCAAATTCATTTGCAATCAGATAATGCTGCTTCTGTCCTCTCTACCACCATGTCAGCTCAGGTTAACTTAACAACCCCTCACCTGGGCTTTTACGACAACCTCCTACCCGGTGTCCTTGCCTCTGGTCTCCACCCACTCCACCCTCCTCCACATGGCTACCAGGGAGCTTTCTAAAACACAAATATGGTGGCGTCACTCCCCTCTTTAAAAACAAAACAAAAACAAAGAATAAAAAACGAGCATTCAAGCCCAGCTCTAACCCATCTCCCCAGCACAAACTCCCCCCGCCTGGACCCCAACACATAGCTCTTTCTCACTGACTCCCAAACATACCCTCCTCCATTACTTTGACCTTCTGTATACGCAGACCCCTCTGCCTGAACTTCTCTCCACCTCTTCTTCACCAAGGACTCCTACTCATCTTCACCTTCCTCAAGCCTCATTTCCTTGTGCCTACAAGGCAATACCTTCTATGGTGCCTGTGACTCTGTACAAAATCTTTCCATAGCACTTATCACATGGCAATAAAAGGTTTGCTCCCCTTCTGAACTAGGAATCCTTAAAGCTCCAGTCGACCCTGTCCCCAGCATCCAGCAGAGCACCTGGCACAGAGGAGGTGCCCAAAGAAGGTAGGTTTCCACAAAGAATTAAACAAATGGCAATTACTTAATTGGTCCCAAAGCCAGCACATTTGGTACCTTCTCCTCCTCTTCGTGGCCTCAATTTTCTATTTCAATTAAAATGAGCTTGGCCTTTTATTAGTAAGCTACGTCAAACCCTGTTTAGAAAGAGGCAGGGTACAAATACATGAATCACTTTGTGACTGAATTACAATCTAATGAGCATGCGTTCTGAGGACCAGTTTCAAAGGCTGGGCTGGAGCCCTCCCCGCACCTCCAATCCCTGCACCCCCCACCCCATACCTTGCTCTCCTTTAAACGGTCCTCCTCCTGGGTGGCTGGGATGATTTTCAGGGTGATGGATCCCTGGGACTGCGCCTGAAAAGAGAAGACCCACAGGTTTATCGTCTCCCGGGTCTAATGCTCCTTGAGTTCACGTCTTACTTCCCAGGTCTGAAAATTCATGTTCAGAGGAAAGTCAGACTCACTGCCTCCCCTGTGACCCACCCTCCTATGATGGCACCCAGTCGAATTAACTAAAGCAAAAGTCAAAAACCAAATAGCTGCATTTACATGGGACAAAGGGACAGAAGATTTTATATGAGAACCTGAAGACAATGCATGCATTGAATTCCAGCTCTCCATCCCTCCTGACCCTTAGTGCCCCAAAGGGCTGCCCTTCCTTTTCTTGGGTTATTTTAATAACCTAGTCTGCTTTCCTTTTCTTCCTTCCTGCCTGACTTGGGGCTGGTTCCCAGTCAGTACTTCCCTTTTTGCTTCCATCTTTCAGAATGGGCTCTCCAATGACAGGCCACTCCTACCTTCTCAGGAGTTCCCCTTCCCTCTGCCTGACAGAGACCCCGCACCCCCATGTGGGGGGCCCGCAAGGAAGAATGCCGTCAGCCCCTGAGAGCACATCTCATCCAGTGGTCCCCCAGGCCCTGCAACACAAGGAGGTCGGTGCCCAGAACCAGGAAACGGGCAGTGGAGGAAGAGTGGGGGGCTGCCTGCAACCAGGGCCTCTGCAGCAGGGTCTTAAAGAGCAGCCCTCCTCTCTTCGGATCTCATCTTATTTCTGTCCCCAAACCATCAGAAGTTAGCAAAGAGTATCATGCCAGGGGAGGATGCTAAAGATAAAGAGGACGAAGCTATGGCTGGGGCTCTTTACAATTTTAGTTTTGATTTAAAACTCCCAGAATAGACTCTGGGGGCTGTTTTCGTCCCAGCACAGATGTGAAGTGCTGTATCCTTTTCCAGATGTTTACATCCTAATGATTACCACACATTGGATGAGATATCATCCCTGTCCCTACTTTCCAGGAAAGGAAATTGAAACTCAGAATGAATTGATGACTGGTCCAAGGCAGAGGCAGGATTCAAACCCAGGACCGGCTGATCCCAAAGCCCTAGCTCCAGGTCCTCCCTGTGCTGCAACCTCTTATTCCATATTCCTCAGCCCCTTGGAAGAGGGGATCCTTCTGAGGTCCTCAGGAAAGGGAGCTGGGGTTCAGGGGAATGGCTGTGCTGAAGAGAGGGTCTGTGAGAGGCAGATGGACTGCAAGTTCCACTCTTCCTGGCCCCCCGCCCTGCACCCCAGGCACACTGTAAGGTCACTTTGCCTGAGGCCTTTCCATGAAAACAGGGAGCTTGAGCCAGATCTGCCCTGGCCCCAGGAAGCGCCCGGTTTAGGCCTCCGAAGCACCCCCAGCACGCGTGTAGCACGGACCAGAATCTGGCTGATCTCGTCGGGCCGCTTGTGCAGGACGGCGATCCCATTCACCTCTCGAAGCTCGTCTCCAACATGGACCAGGCCTAGGAGACACAGGTGCTGACCATCAGCCCAGGAAGCGGGCCTTGGCCCCCAGAGCTCGAAGCTCTGGGCACCGCCGGGGCCCATCTGAGGAACCGGCCGCAGGGCAGACCCAAGTTGTAAAGACAGGGGGTGGGACTGGGATAAAGTGAGCACCCACCACGTGCTGGGCACTTCACTTGGCAACACAGTCTCAACCACCTGGTGAAATCCCTGGTTCACAACTGGCAGCTGAGATCCAGAAAAATTACGCAGCTTGCACAAGGTCACAGTGCTAAGAAATAGTGGAGCCTGTGTTCAAACAGTTATTTGGACGTAGAAAGCCCATGTTATTTCTGCTGTAACCTCTGCTTCTTTAAAAATATCTCACTTTAATTTCTTACTTTCCTGGGTTTACAGAAACACTCTAAGAAGGTCCTTCTCAAATCTTCACAAGGACACTTAAGGACACCAGGGAAGATGTCGAGAGTGTTAAACACACCTGTCTCTTAGCCTCCATTTTAATGGCAAGTATCTCTGAATGTTAGGACCTATTTGCGTCTGAAAGTAGACACGGACCCAGCATCAGCACCACCCAGGAGGTGTGCGGAATCTGGGGCCCACCCAAGACCTGCTGAATCAGCATCTGCCTTTTGACCTTCCCCAAGTGAGAATACAAGAAGTCAGCGGGCTGCAATTGAAAAAGGACCCTCACCTGACCATACTGGTAACACTGTAAAATTACCATTTCTACCTCTGTAATTCAAAAATAATCTGTGACGAGATGAAAAAAAAAAGAATCTGCCTTTTAACAAGATGCTTGGAGGAGGGGTGGTTCGTGCGCTCACTCATACTTGAGAAGCTCTGGTTTGGGATCCTAAAAACAGTGACCCCCAGACTTTGGGAGCAACACCCCCACACTAGGAGGTTTGCCTCTCAACTCAGGAATTCATCCTCACACCAAGGATTTGCAACCTGTCTTCCACCTAAACAAACCAGGGACATGAATACCCTCCCCTCAGTAACAGCGACAACGAGGAGGTGAGGAAGGGGGCCCCCACCTCCCAGTCAGGGGCTACCCGCCAAGCCCATGCTGTATGCTTAACTACCAGTCCTCAGGCTAAGCCAATGCATGAGCCCTTCTGATTTCCCCCAAAGGACTTCACACATGAGAGATTTTCAGACAATTAAAATTTCTACCAGGCTTGGAGAAGGGAATTCCAGCCCCGCTCCCCTACTCCCAGCACATCCCAAACAAGTGACCGGAGAAGAGGGGAAAAAGAGACTTGTGGCCAAACGAGGGAAGGCTGGGGGACAACGGCCATCACCTTGGCCAGGCCATCACTGATGCTACTCACCACTCCGGTCTGCCGCACCCCCTCGCATGATCCTGGCCACCACGACAGCCCCTGAGTGTTCATCCCGCCGGATGGTGGCACCCTGCATCAGAGACAGAGCAGGCCGGCTCCTCAGAAGCACCTCCAAACCTAGACCCTGACTCTCTGAACTCAACAGAGCCTCCCCGGTCCTCCCTCTGCCACCACAGAGGGCAGATCGGTGGGGACTGTTCCAATACTGAGGGTGCAATAAAGCCGACATCTCGCATTAATATAGCACAACGCTTTACAGTTTAAACAAAGCCCAATAATGCTGTGACAGTCTCATTTTAGAGAGAGGGACTGGAACTCAAGAGAAGGTAAGCACCCTAAAGGTCACCCAGCTGGTAAAGAGTAAAGCTTTTTGTGATGCTGAATCCAGCATTTTATCATATCATAGCCCTTGCCTCTTGCAAAGACATTTAATAATGAGGAGAGTATGTGCCAGCAAATTCTCATCCTGCCTCTAACCAACTGCAGGTTTACCAGGCCTTCTGTTGCAGAGAGGAACCAAATATGCCCTAGCCAGAGCTTTGGGATCAGGGCTCGGTCCATGAAGCACAGTAGAGAGGATGTTGAGGATGAGAAAGGTGCTAACAAGCCCTCAATTTCAGGCTTCACGCAGGCTGGACTGTGGCGAGTCTGGGTGGCAGTCAGGTGAAGAGCGAAGCTCTGGAGTTGGATAGCCCTGAGTGTGAATCCACTCCGCCATTTGCTAAAAGCATGCGGCCTTAGCAAGGAAGCCCACTATCCTTCCTCTCGGAGTCTGCTTTCTCTGGGATAGCATTTAACTCATGGGGTTGTGCAAGGATTACATTAGATAATACATGCAGGGCACTAAGCACACAGTAAGTGCTCAATAAATGCTAACCATTTATTATTGGCTGCAACTGCAAGCACATTGGCACACTTATTAACTTTGTTTACAGCATCTATCTGAAGTACATTAGATAAATACTGCTGGAAAGAGAGGCCATCAGCTAAGCACCCTGTGGCTTCTTGACCCCTGGACCTAGCTTTCCAGCATCTATGTCTAACTTTTCCTCCTTCCCCCCATCTCAGGGAAGGCGCCCCTCCTGTCTAGGCTGCTCCATCAATCCCTCCCACCCTCTCCTACATTCTCAATACCCTTTCTCGACTGGCTCCTTCTCTTGGTGCTAAAAATATTATCAAGTCTTTCCCATCATTAGAAAGCCTGCGCTCCCATCGGCAGCAGCCAGTCTCTGTTCCTTTGGAGCAAAGCTTGTTAAAGAAGCAGTGTGCGTTTGCTCTCTCTGCTTCCTGCCCCCCAAGTCACTCACCCCCGCAACCTCGAATGCACCAGCAATGAACTAATGACCCGCCAGCTACCACCCTCAGTCCTCTCTCCTCTGATCTCCCTCCTGTCTAACTCTGGTGCTTGTCCTCCCTCTGGAATTCTCTCTTAGCTCAGGCCCTAGTGACACCTCTCCAGTTCTTCTCAATGACAAATCTTCTTTGCTGAGTCCCCCTCTAACTGCCTTTAAATGTTGATTAAAGGGCTAGGGCTTGGCCTCCACCCTCTTCTTGTCTCACTGCGTATACTTTACCCCTCCTAGATGCTGGCGGCTGCCAAATTTGTATCTCTGGTCACATATCTCTTCCACTGCCCAGACACCCCGACGTGCAATCACACAAGCCTCTTGAAGTCAGTGGGCCCTAAGCCCCTCTTTATTCCCTCCCTTGAATCATGGCCCCAGCATCCTCTTAGTCATCCCAACTGGATATCTGGGCATTATCCTAGGTGCCTCTCCAGACTCCGACCCAAACTGGGGCAGTCACAAAGTAACACTAATTGTATTCCTGAAATATTTCTTGGATTTCTCTTCCCTATTCCCACAGGCCCAGGTCAGCCTTGTTTCTGAACATATATCTAGCTCTCACCTCCAAATTGGTTTTCTGCTTTTGGCCTCACCCTCCAGGCTACTTGATATCCATGGTGATCTTTCTAAACTACAAATCTGGCCATGCCATTTCTTACTAAAAACTTTCAATGGCTCCCCACTGCCTTTGGGATCAAGCTAAGCGGCTATGCATGGACAATCAGGTTCTTTATGATCTGCCCTGACCTGGCCTCACCTCTGTCACTCCTTATCTCAAACTTGGCATTCTATGTCCATACCAGGCAGCTCAGAGTTCCCTGAAGATACCCTGTTGTTTACCTTACCATGGCTTTGCTCGTGCAGTCTACTGCGTGTAATGCCCTCCCTCTTCCTTTTCCTTCTGGCAAACTCCTGTTCTTTTTTTTGGCATTCAGCATGGGCATTACCCCTCCCAGGAAACCCCCATTCACTACCTCCTGTGAACTTCAGGAGGGCAAGGACTAAGTCTTACTCATCTCTGAACTGCCTGCACCCAGCAGGGTGCTAGGTACACAGGAAGGTGCACAATGTGTTTGCCGAGTCGGTGGATGACTTTCCAGTTTGGAAGGTAAGAAAACAGAGGCAGAAGAGAGATCTTGGTCTGCTTGTAGAAGTGGCTCATCTGAGGTCATTTGGTGAAAGTTGAAAATAAAGGGTGCCAGCTTTCGTATTCTCTAGGGTAAGGGTCCCCAACCCCTGGGCCATGGAACAGTAGGAGGTGAGCGAGCGAAGCTTCATCTGGATTTGTAGCCACTCCCCAGCACTAGCATCACCGCCTCAGCTCCACCTCAGATCATCAGGCTTTAGATTCTCATAGGAGCACCGGTCCCTGGTGCCAGTAGTCCCTGGGGACCACTACTCCAGGCCAAGCACTGCGGACTTCCCCTACTTCTCTCCATCTAATAAACAACCCTGTCTCTGCTTGGTAAATCAGTGCTGAACCAGGACCAAAATGATAACCATCTGTCAGCTGAGAAGAATGGCTGCTGTCCTGTGCTTCCTCAGTATTCAGAGCAGGGATTGGCAAACTTTTTCTGTAAAGGGCCAAATGTAAATATTATTGGCTTTGTGGGCCACAGGGTCTCCTTAGCAACCACTGAACTCTGCCATTGCAATGTAAAGGCAGCCACAGACAGTATCTAAATGAACTGGATGGCCATGCACCAGTAAAACTTTATTTAGAAAAACTGGCAGTGGGCTGGGTTTGGCCCTTGGGCTGTAGTTTGCCAACCTTTGGCTCAAAGCACGATGATCAAGTCTTCCCCAAACAGCTGTGCAGGTTATTTACTGCCCAAAAGAGCTTGGCTACAGCTGAGAAAGCCTGCATCCACCCAGAGAAAGGGGTACCCTGCACAGAAAAGTGTTGCAGGAACTAGTGACAGCCATGACAAAGCTGCCATCACTCACGCTGAAGACTTCAGGGTCCCTTCCCAGTTTTCAGGGTAGAATAAGGAGTGGGTGGGGAGGAGATGTAGGTGCCACATACCAGGGGTTCCTTGTTCTTCACCAGGCGGACAATCTTCACTGATTCTTCATCAAAATCCTCGTCGATATTATCAGGCAGAGGGGGGAGCACAGGGTCGAAGTTCTTCTGGGCAACTGTGTCATGTACCATGAGCATGGCCTTTCAGGAAAACAAGAGAAATGAAAGGCTGGCCCAGAGCTCACAGGAGTCAGGGGGCCCTGACTGGGCAGCGGTCTGGGGAGTCTCAGATTTCATGCCAGAGACAACCCCCCTAGATGCTGGCACTGAGGATCTCTCACTCAGAAATCTCCTTTCCTGTCTCATGACCAAGCGTTCCCTCCTGCCCCCATCCCAGGAGACACAAGCTGTGTGGGTGAGCAGGGACTGCAGCGTGACTACCCTGAGGTGGGGGGTGGACAGTAGCTGGAGAAGCTCCCTCTCGTCGCTGTGTACAGAGGCGGCCTGCAGCTCCTCCATCACCTGTAGGGGAATAAGACAGGGTTATGGGTGCTTTGAGCCCGCTGGGAGTCACTGTGGAAAATCCTGCTCCCGCGGCCTCAGACCCAAGGGCCCTCCCAGCAACTACTACAGCACCTAAGGGTACATTGGACCCTCAGCCACCCCAGGACTGACACTCCCAGGGAAATCACACCAAGGATCAGAAGAGCTTAAGCAGCTCTACAGGGTAATCCTAATGGGCACTAACTTATGAAGCCCTATTAGGTGTCACTTGCTTTACGTGGACCTTCTCACTTAACTCTCACAATGAACTAGATATAGTGGATACTATTATTTTGCCATTTTACAGATGGGAATTAAATGAAAAGGATTCAATATCTTGCCCAAGGTCACAAAGCTGAAGTGGCACAGCCAGGACTTGAACCTGGGGTCATCTGGCTCCATTATCTGTGCCTTCACCACAGCACTATTTTATAACGAAAATGGGGGGTCAGAGAGATTGAGTGACTCGTTTAAGGTCACAGAGCTAGTAGTAGAGGTATAGTGTTGAGCCTGGGAGCGTGGCAACCTAACACACCCCTCATCACATTCTACAGAGGAGAAAGGTGTGGGATCTGGGCCCGCAGGTGCTCCCATCCCTCGGAGGCCATCTTCTGGGGTTAGGTGAATTTATTCAGGAGTTGGACTGAATGATCAATGAGGATAGCTTTTCCCAAACCGTGCAACACGGAGGACAGGTCTGCAAGAAATTAGGAAGCATTTCTTTAAAAAAACGAGACACCTAAGCAAGTAAGCGGGACACACTGCGAGTCCCTTGCCCCCAGGACTTCCCAGTGGGCCTCCCCAAAACCCAGACGCAAGGTCTGGTTTGACCTATTCATATCGCCAGTCATCAACAGTTTGGGAACTGCTGATCAGATCCAAATGCTCTCATTTCACAGCTGGGGAAGCAGACTTTCTCGGGAACACAAAGTAAGTGGGCGTCATCATGTCACCATGTCACCCAGCACAGTCCAAGGCTCATGAGTTCCCCCTGCCTGTTGGGAGAACCGGGGAGAAGACACTCTACATTCACCTTGGGGCTCCTGAGGCCCGATGTCCCCTGGCTAAACAGTAGCAATGAGGTGAGACAAAGGAGCCCCACGGGGTGGGGAGAGGGCTGACACCACAAAGAAAAAGCTGAGGCTTACGTCTTCAGCAAGGGCCACAGCGCTGTGCAGAACAGGGGTTGGACTTTGCCTCTCATAATAGCGAAGCTTCTCATGAATCTGCAAAGACAGCCAGTTTCAGGCTGGGGCCTCCCAAGCCAGCTGCCCAGGTTTACCCTGGATACCACACAGCCCGCCCAAGGCTGTAGGCGTGCAGACTGGGTCATCCACGGGGCAGTGTGAGAGAAAGCCCTGTATGGTGGGTTAGTGAAGACCGTCCTTGAGCAGGGAGATAGCTAGGAGGACCTCTAAAAACCCTCACCAGGGGGAAATGACATGCGGCTTTACCTTCATTAAGTAACTGAGGCTTTTTTCACTGAAAACATCCCTCAAGAAGCCCATCTCGTCCTTGTGGTTGGAGTCAGGTCTGAGCTGAGAGGTCAGCAGCGCCAGGGTTTCATGCAGCCCTGAGGGGAGTGTAAGGAAAACAAAGTGTAGCAAATGCAACGGGTGCCTCCTGCCCTGTGGGACCCCCCAGTGGAGCCTCAAACAACACTTCAGCCCTGCCCTGTGGACATTCCCTCCCCGGGCTCCCATTCCCAGGGCTTGGAGGCATGGCAGCTCCCGCGAACACAGGCTGGCAGCAGCCTGCTCTCTTTCCAGCCTGGGGGTGCTGGGCAGGCTCTTGTCTTCAGGGTCATGGAGGCCCAGCCCAGGGAGGCACTCACCGGAGTCCTCGGACAGCACCGGCATGTTTGTGCTGGTCAGATCCCCAGCTCTGCCTAAGAATGCTGGGAGAAAGGGGTGGAGATGAAGCTCCGTCAAGCATATCCATTCAAAAGACAATGATTACACATCTACTGTGTCTGTCTGTGACCAATTTGGGGACAGAGGAGATGGGAGCAAATGATTCTCTGCTCACTTTTTTTTTCAGAGAGGAAGAAAAGAAAACTGAGATTTGCTGGGTACCCACAATGTGCCAAGCATTGTGCTGGGTGATTTCATATAACATTTTCCTTAATCTGCACAAATCCCTGAGGAATGAATACTAATATTCTCATTTTACTGATACAGAAATAAGGCTTGGAGGAATGCAGTAACTTTCCGGTCGGAATCCATACTATGGTGGTCTTTCCAGGCTGGTCTCAGAGGTGCTAAGTGGCCCCCTGCCTGATAGTGGCTGCTCTCCTCCACAGCATCCCCCTTCCCCTGTGACCTTCTAAGAGGCCTCGCTCAAGTCCTTTGCCTGTCACACCTTCAACAAGTACCCTCCTGAGCCTACGAGTTCCCTCCTTGCCCTCCACCCCCAAGCCCCAATCCGAAGGGAGCCTCCCCTCGGAATAGAGCATGCATACAGAGGAGGTAGAGAAACGAGAGCGCGGGCGGAGGGAACCCTGTCTCAGGAGGGCCCCCAACATGCTCTGCAGCACGTGGACCTCAAAAAGTCCTCTTTCAGAAGGGATCAAGGAGAGTAATGATTCATTCATTCCGCAAACAAGGAACCAGCCCCTCTGCGCCTGAGCCCCGGCGACACCAAGATGCATAAGACTGGTACCCGGTCCTCCAGCCACCGCCTCCTTTACGCCGGACTCACTCTCGGGTTCCCTAGCTGTGCTCCCCCCTTGCTCCCTCCAGGCGCCCAAGCCCAGACTCCGGCTCGCTTTCAGAAAGAACCTGTGGGATGAACAAGGAGCGCGACTGAGCGAGGACGAGGGAAACCTGGGGGACGCAGAGGGGGGCGGTCTCAGAGGATGCAGAGCGGCGGGAAAGGAGCCGGGCGCACGGGGCGGTCTGGGGGTTCGGGGAGGAAGGCCCGGGCCGAGGGGCGGGGACTGAGCGCGCCTTGCTCCCAGCTGGGGCTCCATGGGCCTCGAGCCTGCCGCGGGCACGAGGGCCTGGTCTCGGCCCATCCTCTGCGTCCTCCCGTGGCCCCTCCCGTGGCCCCTCCCGCCGCGGCTCCCGGTCTCCCGTGCGTTCCCCGCGCGGGTTCCTACCTGGGCGCGCCGGGATCTCAGCTCCAGCTCTGGAGCCGCTCGGGGGCCCAGAGCC